CCTCTGTCCCATTCGTGTTTCTACCGTGAAGCAGTTGTGTTTGCATGACTGTGTTTCGGTTTGAAGGACGGGACAGGGCAGTGAATTTACAGGGTACAGAAAAATACAGAAGAAATCTGAGTCCTCAGGAATGGCAACACATGAGGGGTATCATGGGCGAAACAGTATACTCTGTTATGTCCATGGTACTGCACATGTCTATAGGCGACGGTTACCACTTTCCATAAGGTGGGCCGTCAGCTTGTTTGCAATGCTAAGTTTTATAAAAACAAATGGTATTACAGTGAAAATAAATTCGTCGAAGTTTCGCCTATCTCATTAAACTATAAAAAAAATAAAAAGTCTCAAATAATGGACGTCTGTCTAGACTCACAATATTCAATTATAATTTCCAATCTTAAATAATAAATACACGCCGAATGTCATTCGGGACAGATTGCAGTAAATAAATAGATAAAAAAAAAATCAGTAACATTCTTCTGAGTTAAAATTTTGGATCGAAAGGTTCAAATTACCCAATTCCGAAAACCATTTTAACATTTTAATTAGAAATTCTATTCCGTGGCTTCTTGTTGTTTTTACCCTCGCCTGAATTCTATTTCTTCAGAAGCACAAACTCACTGTCTATTATTCTAAAGCGATTCAATCATTTATTTAATTTTAACCCCCAATTCGAAAGAGACGCCGGTAGGTTTGTTTTTCTGTAACTCCTAAATTTCAATGCTTTTTTTTTTTAATTTAATCACATTGATATTTAAAAAATCTAAGATACACGATCGAGCACTAGAAAAAAAAATGCTTTCAATGAACACTGGTGTATTGAAATAACATAATAATGTAAATGCAAATAGTGTTAAAGCTCCAACATTTATGTGCCTACAATAATATATAATAATAAATTTAGTTCGGACTTTTAGGTGCATTCATATTTATTAGTAACAATGTTCTTAAAACTAATGTTAGTAAACTTACACACACACACACGCACACGCACACGCACACGCACACGCACACGCACACGCACGCACACGCGCAAGCACATAAATGCACATAGTATACAAATAATCATCGCTGTATAATTACATTAGAAATTGAGCAGCAGTGATTAACGTACACACAGTCCAGCCTGCTTGCCATCATATTCAGAATGCTGTTGGCGCTGTGCACCAAGGATGTGCACCTATATATGGCCAAACATATGTTTATAATATCCCCGTGTATGTCCCGGCATAGAATGGGCCACCCCTTCCTTTCCCGTGGGTGTTATAACAAGCAACATAGGGAGGGCGAGGGATGGGCAGCAACGTCCTTCTTAAAACATCTCTAAAAGCCTAAAAGCGGTTGCCAGCCACCTGCCAAGTGTGGCAACCACTGGCAAAACTCCTCTTATGAGGAACACTTATATCCAGCAGTGGACAGTTAACAGCTTATGTTTTTTTATATGTGTCACCTTGTTACTCATGTTTCAAGTAAATAATAAATAAATATAAAAAAATACATTTTTAACTTTCTAATGATGTTAATAGCCAAATAGGCAGAGATTTTGTTACAAATTTTGTGAAAATACGACATCTAGGTACGGCGTTTCGTGTTTACGATATATAATATAGGTAATTAACTCCGTATATAGCTCCTTCTACAATAATTATTTATTTCTTCGAAGTAATATCCAAATATAACCCGAATTAATCGGGTTATCCTTGGATGTCTATTTTATATGAAATTGCGACTCTAGTATTTATTTATATCTATGTTTAATTAAAGTAGTTTATTTTATGTAATTAATTTAAAAAGTATAAAACAAAATCACTATCCCCGTCTGTCTGTATATCCACTTACTTCGAACCTGTTTTTCTTGTCTTTGCTTTTTTGATTTTATCTTAGTTTCACAACCAATTAGATAAAGCAGAAGGTTTTATATGTATAATTTGGATTCGTGCGAAGACAGGGCGAGTTGCTAGTTCATAATAAACCTGTTCGCTAATTTGTGAATCTTTTTAATTTTTTAATTATTATTTGGCCTTGTGGTCCCGGCATAGAAAAGGCCACCCATTCCTTTCTTGTGGGTGTCGTAGGATACGACTAAGGGAGTGCGAGGGGTAGGCAACAGTGTCGCTCTTAAAACATCTCTAAAAGCCTAACTGCAGTTATTTATCCGCCTGCCAAATGTGGCAACTACTAGCAAAACCCTCCTTATGTACAACAGTAGATAGTTAAAGTCTGAAATGATATTGATCATGAATTTAATTCGAAGATTAACCCGTACAAACGGACAAATTGGCAGAAAATCACAAAATTAGAAAAAATCTGGATGTGTACGAGTACTATTTCACTTATAACATCCTCGTGACTCGGTTTTTAGCGTTTTTTTTTTTTTCTATATACACAAAATTACTTTATTAATTAAATAAAATTAAGATTTTTTTTTTAATCTTTTTCATTAATAATTAAACTTATATTACAAATTACATTATGGATACAATATAACATACTTAGACTGTCGTGAAGACAATCAATCTAGGACTTAAGTCTCATTTTCACCAAACGGTTTGCATCGAATCGGATCAGAATGGATTCTATAATCTTCAAACGATTTTAAACCATGTATACAGTATTTAAAGTCTATATTACCAAATCACGGACGGCAGCTAGACCCCGGGCGTCTTCCGCGACACGCGATCGTAGCCGAAAGTATGCTGCGACGTGCGATCGACTCCGTTCGCTTATCTACGTATACAATCGGATCCTTTCAGCTGTTATTATGTACAATCAAGGCCGTCGCTGGGCAGTACCATTCATTTTTCCTTCCCTTTTCTGTTTATGATGATTGTTTCTTCTTCGAATGCAATAGCCAACAACACTAAAGTCAACTTTAACCATTTTCAAGAATGAGAACACGCTAAAACTGTCGAAAGAAACTGTTTGAATAGGCGTTGAAATAAATACATTAGTGAGCGACGGTACGCAACCGATCCTATGCATCGGCATCCTGCCGGACGCGATCGGCTGTCGCCGCTTCGATTCGTATCCTTTCCGTTCCGATGCGATGCGAGCCGTTCGGTGAAAATCATCCCTAATTCGACACACGCGGTACCCATAAAGCCACCATGACAACAGCTATAAAGCAAAACTATTTTAATTAAATAATTAAATTACCGTGTCGAGACGGTGTAAGAATACAATGTGTAACCACTTGTTCTCATTTTTAGAATGGCGTAAGAGACAGCTCGGAGAATAGAACGTAATGCCTGGTAACACTGACTTTGGTCGTAGCAAAATCGATTATTTTAATTTTAAACCTAATCGATTGAACCTAGTCCGATCAAAATTTAATAAAACCAATCTGAAAGCGTAACTTTTTAGACAAATAAACATTTATTTTTTTTTCAAATCGGATAATAATTGTGGAATTTTGAGGAGTCATATGAAATATAACCGAATTGAAAACCTACCAGAGGGAGACTTTGTACAAAAGTCAATTGCTTGGATACCTCTGTTCCATTCGTATTTCAACCGTGAAGCAGTTGTGTTTGCACGACTGTGTTTCGGTTTGAAGGGTGGGATATGGCGTGAATTTACTGGGTACGGAGGAATAACACCTGAGTCCTCAGAAATGGCAACGCATGGGGGATATCATGGGCGAAACAGTATACTCTGTTATGTGCATGGTACTGCCCATGTCTATAGGCGACGGATACCGCTTTCCATCAGGTGGGCCGTCAGCTTGTTTGCCATTCTAAGTTTAATAAAAATTTTTTTTTTTTAATTCGGTTGAAAAAAAAAATATCTACCCAGCATACTTATAATTAATCTTTTTTTTTTATACCATGAAGGTGGCAAATAAGCTTACAGTCCGTCTGATGGTAAACGGTCACTGTAGCCTATGAACACCTGTAATACTAAGGGTGTCACGTGCACGTTGCCGACCCTGAAGAAAGCTCAATGTACACCATACTCTAGTTAGGGAAAACCTCGTCAAGGAGCTGATTCCGTAGCCTGAGCGTTCACGGGAAAAAACTCCTTTGAAACTGTCCTTGGATCGGTAAAAGGGAATGAGATATAAATGATTCGTTACTATGATTTTTCATCAAACTAGAAATGATTGCATATCGTATTTTCTATATCCGTCTATATACTTTAATAATGATCTGGTTAAATATGATAAATTCGACAATAAACAATCACGAAATCAAATACATATAAATAAAACCCTTTATATAAAAACTAATCTTTAAAGTTATATAAGTATATGTTACATTACACTTAAAAAGTACAAAAGGCGGTCTAATAATTAAAGACAGCCTTTGGATAGAAGAGAAAAGAATAAAGGCGGTAGCTATTTGACGGAAGAAGTGCACTTGTTTTTTTTTTTTTTTATAGGTGTAAATGGTATGATAACCACGCCTGCGCTAACGGTATACGCTGGCGGAGCACCAGTGAAGGGTGATAGATGAGAATGAAAACAGGCCAGTTAGCCCATCATGATGAATTCATCAGGAATTAACCATGATAGTTTCTAGTGAGAACCGCGAGGAGGTCGACCTGGTTGGGTATATTGCTAGCAATGGGATTCTCAGTCTCCATTACTAATAATCCCTTTCCCCCCAAGTGCACTTGTTGTATCAGCCCTCAACCGTTTACTGCTGCACATAGGCCTTCCCCATGAGGGGGGGTTTTGTCAGTAGTTGCCACGCTTGGTAGGCGGATTGGCAACCGCAGTTTTTATTTTGGTTATGTTTTAAGAAGGACGCTGCTGTTCATTCCTCCACCGTAAGTTCCCTTTGTCGTCTCTTACAACACCCACGAGAAAGGAAGGGGTGGTTCCATGCCGGGACCTAGACAGCTAGAAGTTTACTTATGTTTATTTAAGTGATCGTGTTAATTCCCGACCCGCATAAAACTTAAAACATGCAGCGCAAAAGTCTAAAAGTTAAATATAAGTTTGTAAAAAAACCAAATGAATTAAGAACTTCCTCTGGAAGTCGCCTCAAATCACTCACATTTAACACGTACCTCTTTATCGCAATTTTCAGACACTGTCTTCATGTGTTCTAGCTTCTTCTTGTTTTTGAATACCAAAGGTGACACAGTTGCCATGAAACCGATTTTTGAATATTTATTATTCTTTACAATTCCCACCTGTAATAAAATTCACAATTTTATATTACGATATTAAATATCGAATAACCTAAGGCATACTGGGATGTAGTGAAACACGCATAATTCCCTTTGTGAATGCAATAATGCCGAAAAAATACCCTACTATCCTTTAAACCTGAGGGCCTACCATGAAATGTTTTCCGAAATTTCGGAGCCAAATGAAACACAAATTTTATGTTAAAATTACATAATACATGCCGTTTGGAAATTAAAATATCGTTCCTTTGGACTTTTATGACAGGATGTATGACGAACGAAATGTTAAATTCCATTTATTGGTCCGATTTTGGTATAAACAAAAACATGAAATTAAATCCGAAATTTCGGAATTTTATTTCATGGTAGACCCGTTGCTTTGCGTTAAGAGGGCTGTCAAAATTTCGCATTTAATAAATAATTTTACGATATGAACTAGCGTGACTTATATACGAGAAAGCAAGATGTATACTCTTACAGTGATTTCTGTTATATGCCAACCCTGACTTAATAGGACGCGACTTGGACGCGAATCGTTAGCGCGTCAACGTAATTATTATTATTGCATTTACAGAAGAGCGAATACTACCTTAATATTATTTATTTATTCTGAATATCTGAATATCTTTTAACATGTTTCGAACAATTATATGAGAATTCGGTACACATTGCTCTGTCTTGATCTGTTCGTAGTGCTACAATGCTTTTAGAATAATCTGGTCGATTATTCTTGGCCATCCGAAAATAAAAAAAGATTTTATATAATTATAAATAATAATTTTAAACGGCTTATACCTTTAAATGGTTTATATTCTCATATTTACGGGCGTAAATTAATAACTATAGAGTTCAAAAATAAATAAATATTTTACAAGGTAGAAATGTAGCTCTTTTATATGATACCCCACTTAATTTTTATTTTGAGTACCAATTTTATATTCCATAATTTTCTTTTTTATTTATTTCTATTTCTTCTTATTAATTATGCAAAATATGTAGGCTAATGATACGCAAAACAATTCAAAATTTCAAGTCGATAACACTAGTAATTTTCACTATGATTGTCGAAAGAAGTCGCAACTTAAGAGTTCTTTTGTATATATTTGGTATGGAACCTAAAATTTGTCAATTTTAAAAATGCTTGCGATCAAATTTGTTTAAATAAAGATTCTTTCTATGTATTCTTATTGCTCTGTCTAGACATGCCCGTTGGACGAATATTATATACTCATTACATTGGCTTTGACTTTATTAAATTTTATTCTAAATCGATCTTATATATATTAGCTTTATTAGAAAAATAACAATATAAAAAGAAATATTTTCTTAAATAAAATTAAATATTACAAAAAAATACACATCAAAATTAATTACAAGGAAATATAATAAACAATTAAAGGAAATATAATATAAATAAATTCCATTCGTTTTTATATTATTTATATTAATGAATTTATTTTTCTCTATCTCTTAAATTGCGTCTTACTCAGAATTTTGTGATTGTGATGGTATTAAATTTCTCAGAAACTCTTTTGGTTGTTTATGTTAATAGATGCCTACATTTAATTTATATTGTAGACAAAATAATGTTTATTTTCAATTGTTATTTTTTTTTTTTTAATAAAAATAACAATTGACATATTTTGGCAACACTAAAAACAATTAAAAACAACATGGCATATGAGTGACACTATTCTAGTGTTTTTCTTTTCCTAATTTTTTATTTTTGTTTATTGTTAAATATTTTTGTAATTAAAAGTAAAATTAAGCACTAATTAAGTATTTCCCTTTTTGTTTTTCTTTTTAAATTGATACTTTATAATAATTAATTATTCTCTTCCAATCAATTATTAAATATATTTTTTAAATAAAAACATTTCATTGATGTTTATGTAAAGCAAGATAAATAGGCAAAGGTAAATTTAAATTTAATTTAAATGTAATAATTACCAGTACACAGCGAGGTCAGCGAGCCGCTTAATACTAAGGGCACCATATGGTTCAGAAACTAGTCGAGCTTTCTCAATCAAATTGCACGTAAGTTAAACCGGTAATTATTATATTAAAATATTAATGTATAATTACGACATTTTTAATAATAAATGCTTATATATAATATTTGAAGGGTATAAATTATCACGGCATTTTTATTACGCAATCTGTCAAGATTTTCAATTAATATTCGAGTAATTTAATTTTTTGGCGATTATGAACAATGGCTATAATTATACTAGAAATTCAAACACGAAACAAACATTTTTTTGTCTTAAATATTTTCTTCAAAAAAGTCAATTGCTTATTTATTAATTTATATATTTTTATTTTATTCTTTATTGTATACACTAGTTATTTATAAAAATATGACAGAGGTAATCAAATGTACAAAAGCGCGCTTAACTCTGATAGAGTTCTTTTAATTTCTTTTTGTTAAATTAATTAATTTAAAATATATTATATATTTTAAATTAATTAATTGCTAATTTATTGCTATATTAGCAATACTGTATTTTAGTTCGAAATGGGGATGTATGGCAGTAAAATTACAGCGCAAGAAGGTGTAACACTTCAGACCGCAAAAATAGTAACCCATGAGAGGTGCCATGAGCAGTGTATTCTATTATGTCCATAGTAGTATTCATTTCTATAGACGATGGTTACTACTATCCATCAGGTGGTCCTTCAGCTTATTTACTAAGCCATGTTGTATGATGGTCACAGGTTCGAATCAAGCGCATTACAATAGTATTTTTAATTATCAAAAAAAATAAGTGATTTAATATTTATTATAATTTCTATTTTAATTAAATAAATCTACATCAAAGGTTTGAGTTTGGAACAAGGATTTATCTTAATTAATTAAATTTACGTTGCGGCAGTCAATTCACTTGTATAAATTAATCAATATCATAACACAGAATTATGACCGAGGACAATTAATTTTACGTAATAATGTAATGCAATTTGTAATTAATTGTGATATTGGATATTCATTCTATTGTAATTTGTTTTTATTATTGTTTTATTAATGAACTTGTTAATTGATTATGGAAATTAATCTAAATAAAACATAGACCTAGATTAATGAAAAAAAAATTTGTTAGTTTTAGTGAAATATCGACTTTAAAAAGTAAGTTACGTAACCTAAATAAAAAAAACTAAGGGAAGGGGTTATTCAATATCACCAAATTTAAAATTTTGTTAAAATTCATTTTGGTGAAAATTTAAGTTCTATATTTTTCTGTGAGTACTAATTTCTGCGTTCGTTGCCTACACTGTAAGACCTAGAGTGAAGATAGATTACAGAAAACACTCTATCTTAATATCTCTATCTATCCTATTTAAGAGCTGCGCTCTTGTTGGTGGAGCTCTTGCCACTCACTACGATTTTCAGCGAATCTCTTCACCTCTTGATACGACACGACACTAACTCCTTCCTTGATCTGCCTGATGTAACTATGTCTCGGTCTCCCTCTTCCCCTCCTTCCTTCTATCTTATCTTCCATTATAATGTTCATAAATTCGTCGTGTCGTATCAAGTGCCCCAACATTTTTCCCCTTCTATCCTCAATAGTTCTAATAATTTGTCTTTTTTCCTTAACCCTAAGCAGGACCTCCTCATTGCTAACACAATCACTCCAGCTAATTTTCTCCATCCTTCTCCAGCACCACATTTCAAAGGCTCTAAGTTTATCCATTTCCTTCTGAGTTAATGTCCACGTCTCACATGCATACAAAGCTATCTTAATAATATAATAAAAATCGATCTAAACAATGAGCTCCCTGCCGAGGTCTTCACAAGAGACTGCTGCATGAGGTTCTCCAAAAGGGATGTATAAAGGTTTCAGGGTCGGCAACGCCCGCGTAATACCCCTGGTATTGCAGACGATCATAGGCTACAGTGATCGTTTACCATCAGACGGGCTGTATGCCTGTTTGCCAACTTTATGGTATAAAATATATATAGCGATAGTCGACACTTTCCATCAGATAAGCCATCAGCTTGTTTGTTTTTCATGTTCCATTAAAAAAATATTTACCTTTTCCAACAAACATTTGATGATGCAAGCAGCTTTTTCAGGGTAAGGCGGATCACCTCTGAGATACTCTATGTCAGCCTCAGTGGCCTTAACGTGGTCCATACAGGATCGAGCTGTACTGATCAGGGTCTTACGGACCACCGCTGTGATGGGGTTCTCTGTAAAAATAAAAAAAATATGAATATTATTTTCTTTATTTAACATGGAATGGTGAACATGTTATTAACCTATCATCAATTCATTGTCATCGTCATCATTCAGCCATTATCCATTGTCTACTGGTCATAGGCTTCCCCCATAGATTGGACCCTATAAGGAACGGTCCTGAGGCATCTGCATACACCGACATCCAATGCATTTGCAATGCAATGCATTTGATGTCGTCACTTCATCTAGTAGGGGGTCGTCCTACACTACTTTTGGCCGTACGGGGTCGCCACTCAAGAACCTTCCCCGTCCCCATCGGTTGTTGGAAAGTAGTAATTATCTCTTATGATATGAAGAGCATTAAGAATGATAGAGTAGACAGTACCTACTAATTTAACTGTCAAATGAAACCGAGTTCATAATTGTACTTTTACCTAATATTAAAAATATTTCTACCAACTAATTAACTTTTATTTTATAGCCGTATGGTGACGTCATATAATGGGCCGCTCCTTCCTTTCCCACGAGTGTCGTAAGAGGCGACTAAGGGAATTTAATTGACGAGGGATGGACAGCAGCGTCCCTCTTCAAACATCAACAAAGTAACAACTACTGACAAAACCTCACAAGCGGAGTCCTATAATCAGCAGTGGACAATTAACGGCCAATATGGGCCACCCTATCAGGTCGACCTCCACGTGGTTCCCCCTGGAAACCACCGTGAACAATTCTTGTTGAATTCGTCACGATGGGCTAACTGACCTGCTTCATCCTCACCTATCATTCCTCACTGGTGCCTCCTCGGTGTATACCGATAGCGCAGGCGGGGTTACCATTCCATTATCACCCATAAAAAAAATGATGATGATGACTAATTATTTAAAATCATCTACACATTCTACACTGCAACACAACGTCTCTCACCAATATCCTCGGCAAATACACCGCAAACCGCACAAAGGGAAAACAGCGCGATACTAAATCGACGCATAGCTAACATTTCGGTCACTTACATCTGTAAAATGTTACTCGAATAATGACAATAATTCCGCACCATTCCCCGTACAAACATCAAGATATAATCTTTCCCCGTCATTACACGAACAAATGAATGCTATAGAAATTGACAATTGCAGTGTTATTAGAGCGTAATCTCGGGCCTTTTCATGCATGAACGACTAAATAACATTGGTGGGTTTTGGCCTTTATGTTAAATATCATATTTATCATTAATTGAATAATAATAACTATAATTTTTTTTAATGCAACTTAGAATGGTAAACAAGCTGATGGTCCACCTGATGGAAAGTGGAAACCGTCGCCTATAGACATGAGCAGTACCATGGATATAATAGAGTATACTGTTTTGCCTATGATACTCCCCATGCGTTGCCATTCTTGAGGACTAAGGTGTTATCCCTGTAAATTTACTGCCATATTCCACCCTTCAAACAAAAACACAACTGCTTCACGGTGGAAACATGAATGGAACAGAGGTGCCCAAGCAAATAACTTTCGTACAGTCTCCCTCTAGTAAAAATAATTACAATTAATGGCTGTATAGTCCCAGCATAGAATAAGCCACCTCTTCCTTTCCCGTGTGTGTTGTAAGAGGCGACTAAGGGACAGCAAAGGGTAGGCAGCAGCGTCCCTCTTAAAAAATATCTAAAACCTGACTACGGTTGCCAACCCACATAACAAATTTAAATTTTCAATTTCTTACCGCTTAATTACATTTCTGTTTTGCCAAAGGTTGACTGGGAGAGAATGCTATACACGTATAGTATTAAGTCCGCCTTTTGTACTAGACACTTTTTGTAATGTGGTCACTAAAGAATAAATAAATTATAATTGTAGTTCATCATCATATCATCATCATATCAGCCCTTAACCGTCCACTGCTGAACATAAGCCTTCCCCATGGGGGGTCTGCCGGTAGTTACGACACTTGGAATTCAAGTTGGCAGCCACAATTAGGTTCGGTGTTGTTTAAAAAGTGACGCTGCTCCTATCCTTCAACTATTAAGTTCCCTTAGTCGGCTCTGACGACACCCACAGGAAAGAAAGGGGTAGCTCATTCTATTCCAAGACCATGAGAAGAAGATAACAAAATTCAAACAACATTTTCTTCTCTCGTAAAATCCTGTAACTATAATCCAATGTTCAAGGGGGAAATGGATTGTTAGTAATGGGGTCTAATGAACCCATTGCTAACAATACACCCTATCAGGTCGACCTCCACGTTGTTCCCCCTGGAAACCATCATGAACAATTCTTGTTGAATTCGTTACGATGGGCTAACTGACCTGCTTCATTCTCACCTATCATCCTTCACTGGTGCCCCGCCGGTGTATACCGATAGCGTAAGCGGGGTTACCATTCCATTATCACCCATTCAAAAAAAAATCTAATGTTCATTGATGTTATCGCTTTATTTAATGCCCAGTAAATTCAAGACTTAACAAAAAAAAAGAACGAAGAATGAGTGTAGGTAATACGTTTTTGTTCAATTAAAACACAAAACTAATTTACAACATCTCTTAATTAAACGTTTGGAGAGATTGTAATTTAGTAGATAAAAAAAATAGACTATTACCCCTTCGTTTTAATAACAAAAGTTTCATTCAAATTTTATATATAAAGCTTATATTATCTTTCTGTTAGTTATTATTATGTTTAGATTTATTAGTCTATAATTAATTGAAAGCTCTTTCTAAGATTATGTATTTATAAGCTTTTATTCAATTATAATTTAGATTTAAAATGTATATTATAATTGAATGTTATAACAAAAATGTACATAGGCAGACAATTGTGTGTTCCTTAAAGGGATTTCTTCCAGTCAACCTTGAAAACCCGAAAGGATAAGTATAGAAAAAGTCATATAAGTATACCATAGAAAGTAGTAACTGTGTTCAAAAGGAAAGAGATTCTCATTTCGAATGCATTTTTTGTTATGTTTATTACGTCACAACTCCGTCAGTTGTAAATCGATTTCTATTTTTTTTATCTGAAACGATATACCTGCAGTTTGTTTTTTTATTTTTTGTCATAGCCAATCTTAATTATTTATATAAATTGTAGATAAACCTATGTATTTAATAAAACATAAATTAAAAAAAAATTAAAAAAAAAAAAAAATTTTTTTAATGTATTTCCCCTTCTTTTCCAGTGGGTGTCGTAAGAAGTGATTAAGGAGGATGAGGAATGGGCAGTAGCATCCCTCTTGTCAAGCGTGGCAACAACTGGCAAAACGCCCCTTATGGGGAAGACTTATGTCCAGCAGTGGATAGTTAACGACTGAAATAACAATATATTTTACAAAAATATTAAAATATATTGCTACTTATAGAATTCTGTATCTATATCAATAATGCTGTAATAAATCTTTCAATATTTGATAAACGACTAGGTAAGACGTGGACTGCAGATATTTTCGAATATTGCTCATTTTTCACCTACCACTGCTTTGTGAATTCAATACAGCCAAAATGTATTATGGAAACATTTTAAATTTTCTATTTTGGAAAATCTAACCCCTTAGATTATATATATGAACCCTCTTATTCATACAGACGTCAAAGCTATCATAAATCTATTTTAGCACACTCTGTATATACTTGAAACGGGTATATTTGTTAAATTAAATAAGCATAATAATAAGATTGATGAATGTGGAAGAAGCGAAAGAGGTTTGTTTGAATCGAAGCATTTGGCGTTCCATTGTTTCTGCCTACCCTAATGGGAGACAGGCGTGACAGATATGTATGTATGTATGTTAAATAAGCACATGTTTACAGAAGCAAAAGAGCAAATACAAAGAAGCGTAAGATACCCTAAAATACTAATATCTTATACAATGCCTAAAACAAGCCGTTTATTAAGAAATTCCTATATGATGTGTTTAAAAATCTTTAACAATATACCTTTTTTTTATACAACTTAGAATGGCAAACAAGCTGACGACCCACCTAATGGAAAGTGGTAACCGTCGCCTATAGACATGAGCAGTACCATGGATATAATAGAGTATACTGTTTCGCCCATGATACCCCCCATGCGTTGCCATTCCTGAGGACTCAGGTGTTATTCCTCCGTACCCAGTAAATTCACTGCCATATTCCACCCTTCAAACCGAAACACAACCATGCAAACACAACTGCTTCACGGTTGAAACACGAATGGTACAGAGGTACCCAAGCAATCGACTTTTGTACAAAGTCTCCCTCTGGTAAATATATGAATATAAAGGTACTTCCATTAAATAAATTTAAAATTGTATTACGTAAATGGTTACTTTTGCTAAACTTTTACTCTGTAAACGAAGTTTTAAAAAAAAGAATAGATAAATATCTAATACAGTTGTCGATGCATAAATTAATCAGTTCCTATTAAAGTGGGACATTTGCATGCTATTCTGTAATGGCTAAATAGGCACGAAACTTTATGTAATATAAGACCACCGATACCTACCCTATTTAAAGCAAATAAATTTATTATTATTATTAGCTATTGAACTGTTCTTGTCTCTTTCTTTTACGCTAAATTCCCAATTTAAAAGAAAGTGACAAAACAGTTAATATATGGGACAGTGTGTCCATACAAATTATCATTTTATCATCAGTACAACCTGTTGTCCATTGCTAAACATAGATGTACCCCAAAGATTGCGGGGAAGGGATTATTAGTAATGCGGACCACCAGTCACATTGCTATCAATGTACACTGTCAAATTGACCTCCACAGCACCCCCCACCCTAGAAAATATCGTGCTGAATTCCATGTGTATTCATTACGATGGGCTAACTGACCTGCCTTTTCATTCTGATGCTCCTCCAGCGTATACCGTTAGCGCAGGCATGTTACCATTCCATTATAATCCATTAAAATTTTACATCCATTAAGTCTATAAATTGACCAATACCACGTTAGGCAAGTGAAACTTATTATAGCAAATGATGACATTAGAAAATAATGGCCGACCTTATCGCTAAAAGCGATCTCTTCCAGGCAACCATTGGATGTATGTAGGTATATTAATATTCAATAGAACAAGGTCAAAACTCCATAATTATTCATAATGATGTTTATTTTAATGATTACTTTGATTTATATCTAAGTATTCATTTAAAATATGAATTTCGTTTTTGAATCATTGAAAGTGACTGCTATTTTGATTGTATGTATATATGAACTTGTAAGTAATATGTACATACATACATATGTATATTTATAGAATAGAATAGAAAATATTTATTGCCAAAAAAACATAATTATAAATACAAAAATGTTATATATGTAAGAAGTGTTTCATATTAGGCAAAGGAGCTGGCACAGCTGATGCTGAGAGTGTCCCAGTACAATGAGCACAGCTGCCGAGCACTGGTTCTCAACCAGTTACTGTGCACAGTTTTTGAAATAAATATATATGAAATACTGGCTAGTTGTAATTGTTTTGAAAATAGCATTATTAACAAGTAAAAATACAAAAATTCGAATTTTAAATTTCTCGTCACTTTCTTTCAGTTATAGCAATATACTATGGCGACAATACGATTCTGTTCGATGTACCAAAACATTCAGTGGTGAACATTGTCTGAGAAATGATGATTGAATAATATTGAGTTAAGTAAAAAACGATAGCCAAGCTAATAACAACTTTAATAATTCGCGATATAGTCCCTAGTGGACTGTTAAAAATACGCCAAATTTACGACAAGTAACGGTTAATTAAATGAAGGGATGAATATAATAAAATTAAGAAATTAACGTTTCCATAGTTCCCCCTAGCTTCCACAGATCCCTAAACCAAAATATTTTGACTTAGGGATTTTTTTTACACCACGAAGGTGGCAAAGAAGCATGCAACCCGTTTGATGGTAAACAGTTACTGTAGCCTATGAACGCCTGCAAAAAAAGGGAACTGAAGAAACCTTAATATATCCTTTTTGAAGCACTTCATACTGTAGTCTCTAGGAAAAACCTCGGCAGGGAGTTTATTCCACAGCCTGAGCGTCCACGGGAGAGAATTCCTTTAAAACCGCACTGTACATGACCATTTAGGTTCAAGCGTGTGAAGATGAATTCCTTATCGATGACGAGCGGTACGATGATAGAAAATCATCGTGATAAGTCTGCCGTATACTTTATATGGCAGATTTACCACGATGATAAAGCAATCTTAACTTACTTGTGTCCTTGTTTTGATAAAATGTGACAATAAACAACGTTCTAATGACACTTGACAAAAATGAATTCACCAATTAATCAACGAAATCTACTTCTGACGGTTATTTCCTCGATAAATTGTAAAACGAAATTGTTTTTTATTAATAATTTTTACGGCACTGAGTACTAGTGCTGGTTTAAGCCAAAACAGGACCGAAAATCAGTGTTGCCATGCGTAAAAAAAATAAATATTACTATCTTTTGTTGATATTTACATGAAAAATTATAAATTTAATTTTTTTTTAAATTAAAGGTAAAAAAATATTATAATATATTGCTTACCGTGTGGTCCCAGCATTGAATGGGCTACCCCTTTCATTCCCATGGGTGTCGTAAGAGGCGACTAAGGAAACTTAACAGCGTTCCTCTTTAAACATCGGTAAAGCCTAACTGCGTTTGCCAACTTGCCTGCCAAGCGTGGCAACTACTGGCAAACCCCCTCCCCCCAATATGTGGAGGCCTATGTTCAGTGGACAGTTAGCTGATAAGATTATGACGATGATGATGATGAATGAAATGTTTTGTAGTGATATAACGAAAGGTCACATTACGCGTTAAGGGCAACATATTACTTGTAATATGTCGCGAACTAACAGCCAGTCTCTAGTGCATACGACATATCACTGTCATAAATTAACTAGCTCGCATATAATTACCACAGTTAATATTCTGTTCACATTATATTAGTGTAAATGTAATATACCAATGTCAAAGGTGCGATATATGGACTGTATATGGGGTCAATATACATACATACATATCTGTCACGCCTGTCTCCCATTAGGGGTCAATATACTGGTTGATATATTGTTAACGTTCCACTCCATTTCTCCTATAGAGAATTATATTTTTTATACAACTTAGAATGGCAAACAAGCTAACGGCCCACCTGATGGAAAGTGGTAACCGTCGCCTATAGACATGAGCAGTACCATGGACATAACAGAGTATACTGTTTCGCCCCTGATACCCCCCATGCGTTGCCATTCCTGAGGACTCATGTGTTATTCCTCTGTACCCTGTAAATTCACGCCATATCCCACCCTGCAAACCGAAACACAGCCATGCAAACAAACTACACCTTACAAATATTTTCTATGCAATAATGAATGATAGTAATAGGAGCAATAATTACGATTACCAAAAATAAATTACTATGCAATATCCAACTTTTTTTTATGGGTGATAATGGAATAGTAACTCTGTCTGCGCAATCGGTATAAGGAGGCAGGACACAACTTTTTTTTATGACATCAATCTATTTAGATGAACGAGCATGCGGTATACCTAATGGTAAGTGATTACGAGTGAGGGATGATAGGTGAGGATGAAGGATGTGAGGAGGAGGCAGGTCAGTTAACCCACCGTGACTAATTCCACAAGAATTAACCACGATGGTTTACAGAGAGAGTCGCATTGAGATAGGCCTGATAAGTACATTGCTAGCAATGGGACTGTTAGATCCCCATTACTAAAAAATCCCTTCCTCCCAACTTGAATATTTTTTTTTTATTGATGATAATGGAATGGTTACCCCACCCGCGCTAACAGTATACACAAAAAAGGCACAAGTGAGAGGTGAAAGGAGAGAATGAAAAGGCAACTCAGTTAGTCTGAATTCCTGATGTATTCGTCACGATGGTTTCCAGGTGAGACCACGTGGAGGTCGACCTTATGGGGCATATTGCTAGCAATGGGACTGATAGTCCGCATTACTAACAATCCCTTCCCCCCAACCTGAATAATTAGGTAAATGTACTTTATTAAAATATCATATTGCAACGCTCATGTACTTACATAATACTGCAGTAATATATGACAGTATTGGCTAGCTAGAGTAATTGTTCCCAATTTGCATTGGACGGATTTATATTACATTGTTCAGTAAATTAATAGCAGCTCTTCAACACGAAGCACATGGAGTAATATAATCTATTGACATTTAATAGAGATAATTTTATCAGTTTTTGGGGTAAGAAAAAAGTATAGATAACACATTTATATTCATATATATAATTGCGTGCATGCGTGCGTGTGTGCGTGTATTTTATGTATGTAACTTATTATCCACTACTTGATATGCGTGGACTTTGGAAATACGAGAACCAATTAAATAGATTTTAAATAAGTGTACAAGATAAAAAAATGCATTCATTTTACACACACACATACGCATACACATACACACTCACACACGCACGCAACCACGCACGCATGCACGCACACACGCACGCACGCACGCACGCACACACGCACGCACGCACGTACACATATATGTACATATACATATGTATGTATATATTATCAGTTTTGGTACCGTACCGTTAACACTAGGTTTCGAGGAGCGATTTTTTAATTTACCTAAAGATGCCGCGTTTAAAAATGAAAGACATGTCGCAAAACGTGCGTGGACGAAATGGCAGTTCACGACTGATGACTAATATGGAAGGTTGTGGAACATATGGTAGTAATAATACTAGTCAATCTTGGAGTGTTGGCAGTCGCACACATACATACATACAGACATGTAGTGGAATTAAACAAAATAATTCTATTTAAATAACCAGTTTTAATTTATTTTCTATCTATACGTATCGGATTATTAGTTTTACATAAAAAATAATGAGTAAATAAGAAAGCCTGTATAATAACTCGTTTATGTTAATATCAATCGTGTGCATTCATACATTAAGTCGTAAATTCAAAAAAACATTATAACAATACAAATAAATCACATAACAAAATTAACTGAAAGCATTGTACTGCCGAGAATTTTCCATGCATGATAAGTTTTGGAAATACACGGAAATGGAATACTGTGATAGCATCAGGATATTATAGTCTATAGTTGACGAGACTGGTCACATAGTTGGGCATAAAGCATGTTTGTTTTATGACGTCATAATGGGGTGTTATGGCGTGGCAGTGACGGATGGGACTCAATGTTGGGAGGCGCCGCTTTTATAGTTTATGAGGTGAAATTAACAAAGGCCCGGGTCAAATTCCGTCCTTCCTGAATATTAGCATAATATTCGTGGCATGGCTGATTTCGTAGTTTAGGTAGTTTTCTTGGGTGTTTTAGATGTTTTTTTGATGTTTCTAGTATAAAAATTTATGTTTATTTTTGTAATTATATATGTATTCATATATATTTATGTATTTGTATATATGTTTTTTTTTTTATACCACTGAGGTGGCAAACAAACATACCATCTGATGGTAAGCGGTTACCGTAGCCTATGAACGCCTGCAATACCAGAGGTATTACGCGCGCGTTGCCGTACCTGAAGAAACCTCTACCCCCCTTTTGAAGAATCCCATGCTGTAGTCTCTTGGAAAAACCTCGACAGGGAGCTCATTCCATATCCTGAGTGTTCGTGGGAGAAAACATCTCTGAAACCGCGCTGTACGCGACCATTTAGGCTGTAAGGTATATATAAATATTTGTATATTTATGTGTAGGTTCTCGATTCGGCTGTATTATTTTACTAGAGAGAAATTTTCTAAAAAAGTCCTCTACTTAGACAGCTCTGCCCCATTCGTGTTTCTGCTGTGAATGTAGTTTTGTATGAATGGTTATGTTTCGATTTGAAGGGTGGGCTATAGTAATGAAATTACAAGGAACAAAGGCATAAGACATTATTTCTAATTTATTTCATTATTCATTATTAGGAATTCCAAAGCACAAAGTGTATCATGGGTGATACAGTATACTCTGTTATGTCCATGGTACTGCTCATGTCTGTAGGCAACGGTTACCAGTTTCCATCAGGTGGGCCGTCAGCTCGTTTGCTATTCTAAGTTGCATAAAAAAAATGACTGCGTTACACAATTCACGGAATTATTCCCAGTTTATATATAAATGTTTATTTTATGACGACTCAAGTGTCACTTTTCGTTAACTTGGAATGTTAAAACAATACAAAAATTCTTATATGGGCATAAAAATTTTCACAATGTTTATTTTTACCGTTTACTTTGATATCTGAGATTGTTCTTTAAAATTTAAGAGATATCTTCTAATATAAATATAAAATTCTCGTATCGCGCTGTCTTTTAACAAACTCCTCCGAAACAGCTTTACCAATTTTTATAAAATTTTGTATTCATATCGAGTAGGTCTGAGAATCGGTCAACATCTATTTCCCTTCAATGATAAGGGTGACCCACCCCTAAATATATTTTTTTTATTTTTTGACAGCTATTTAAGGCCGACAGCACACCTGCAATGCCGTTAGTGTTGTAAGTGATAATGGGCGGCGATAGTCACTTACCATCGGATGAGCCCGCATGCTCGTTTACACACTGTGTTGTAAAAAAAAATTTTTTGACAAAATCTATTTATTTTATTGTGATTTAGCATTAAAAAATACATACCAGTCTCATTGCTAGCAATATACTCTGTCAAATCGTCCTCCACTTGGTCTCCCCTAGAAAACATCGTGATGAATTCAAGGTGTATTCATCACGATGGACCAACTGCTCTGCCATTCCAGTCTCACCCATCATCTCTCATGATGCCCCGCCAGCATATACCGTTAGCGAATGCGGGATTACCATTACATTATCATCAATTAAAAGAACCAAAAGTGTATTTTGACTGACTGAATTATGGTCTATATTTGATACTCGACTTTAGTATAATGATGTAGTTAATGCTTCCGATCGATAGCCACAGGATCCTGCAGTTATAAATTGCACGATTAATATTAATCCGTAACGGCTGTCGACGCGCTATGTAGGTTTACACTGCAGGACAAACTGATGTCTCATCTTTTGAGCTCCGATTTCAATTTTGACAGTTTGCTGTTAATCCTTATCCTTACTAAAGATAAACAAGCGACCGGACTATCGAACTCTCTTCCATTGCACATTCACGAAAGTCAAGGGCTGAATATTTTCAAGTGCAGATTAAAAGAGCATCTTCTGTCTTCATAAACTTATAACAGTTATATGTACGTATTATGTAATATATGTAATATATATATATGTTTGTGTGTGTGTGTGTGTGTGTGTGTGTGTGTGTGTGTGTGTGTGTGTGTGTGTGTGTGTGTGTGTGTGTGTGTGTGTGTGTGCGTGTGTGTGCGTGAATGCGTGTGTGCGTGCATGCGTGTGTGCGTGTGTGCGTGCGTGCGTAAGTGCGTGCATGCGTGTGTGTGTGTATTATTATATACAGATATGTGTGTATTTTGATTATAGGCATATAAGTTACTTTGTGTTTAGATAAGCAAAATTTACTGTACAGAAATACAGAAATTACAGTTGTATGGTTTTTTTTTTGTAGAAGGGATATTTTTAAGCCACTGTATAACTATGTAAGATTGTGGTTCTTAATACAGCGTTGATTTTTATGATTATTTGGAAACTCGTTTATACCCGCGACTTCATTCGTATAACTGAGATAAAATAATAGCCTGTTACCTTCCCCATACCATATAGTATTTGTATATTAAATTCTATAGTAATTACTTTATGTCATTTTGGTGGAGTGAAATATAATATACTCAATGATTTAACATCATTGTCCGCAGTCTATTTTGCTAGCAACCGTACAGTATTAAGCTACAAATTGAAACATGCTACCGTTTAATGAGCTTATTACGAATATCCGTTCAATAAATGTCAATTATTTCCGTGGTTAAAGTTGTTCAGGTTTATTCAACGCGATTTGCCTGTGAAATTTAATTTCTAATATTTTCGAGAAATTGCAACAATTTTGTAATTTGTATTTGTATAATCTGTCTGATATCAAATTATCTTATATTTAATTGTAAATTTATCATCTTTCAGTTAATTGCCCACTGTAGAAAATGAGTCTCCTCAATTTTGGGGTATCTCATGTGAACGGTGTGGACTGCCGTTCGGTGAGCGTGGACTGTAGGGGCGTTGGTTCAGGCTGGAGTGAAACACAGCGATTACTATTCTGAAGCCTCCGGTACCGTCTGAAGAGAGTATTTTTCTTCTTGTCCTATTTCTTCTCGAGTGTAGTGCGTCGCTGCCCGGAAGCGAATGCCGCTCGACGAGAGGCGGCCTATCTTTATACCCGCCCGCTCGCATGATAACGTTTCCAACTCGCGTTAGCGAATCTGCGCGAGCGGGACGGGGCGAGAAAGAACGAGACGCGTGTCTCTTCAGATCGGTACTCTATAGCGTTTATTTATTGCAATTTACAATTTCTTAATTCTATTTATTGTTACAATTTCTATTTCTATTCGTAGGTAATAAGGACAACACACAAAGGAATACTTTATTTAACTTACACTATCTTAAATCTATGTAAATCTATATAAATAACAGAATACAAAACGATTAACTAGGACTTAACAACTATAAATTACGATATATACAAATAATGTCGCGAACATAATCTCCCGCCGCAGCTCTCGTAGCTGGAGTTAACTCGTGTTCGCGTCGCTCGATGTCGATGTGGGCAGTATGATCAGCTTCTTAGTGGGTCGCCGTAGGATGCCCTTGTTCGTCCGCACGTCGACTGCTCGGATCTCGCCGTCTGGTCCAGGGTAGGTCGCCACCACCACGCCTCGCGGCCACGTGTTGCGAGGCAAGGTCCCATCAGCTATCAGGACCAGGTCGTCCATTTTGATGGCTCCGTGTGTAGCTCGGGGCTCCCGCCGGTGTTGCAACTCGGGTAGGTACTCCTTCACCCACCGGTTCCAGAAGCAGTCAGCTAGCCTCTGGCTGGCACGCCACTCCTTGTGTCCCGCCGCGTCGCTCTCTGTGAAGCTGCCTGGCAGTGGGACGCGCGATGGACCGCCCAATATGAAGTGATTGGGGGTTAGGGCGCTGTCGTCGTCTGCCGATGTTGACACGTGGGTTAGCGGTCGACTATTGAGGGTGTGCTCGACCTCGACCAGTAGAGTGTGGAGGACCTCTTCCTTGGGGGCCCGCTCGTTCAACGTAGCGGCTAGTGCGGTCTTCACGCTACGCACCAACCGTTCCCAAGCACCTCCCATGAAGGGTGCGCTCGGGGGAATGTAGCGCCACCGGATGAAATGAACTGATGACTCTTCTTGGATGGCTTCCTCGGCTGCTTTCTTCAGTTCGACGTCAGCACCTTTGAGGTTGGTGCCTTGGTCGGACCATAGCTCAGTGGGACACCCTCTGCGGCTTATGAAGCACCGCAGGGCCATTATGGCGGAGTCCGTGCTGAGGCTGCCGGCGATTTCCAGGTGGACTGCGCGTGTCGTTAAGCAGGTGAAGAGCACTCCGTACCGCTTCTGGTGAGTGCGGCCCACTGTCACGGTCATAGGCCCGAAGTAGTCTAGGCCGGTGAACGTGAACGGTCGTTGATGATGCGCCAGCCTGCTCTGTGGATGGTTGCCTGTTGACGGCTGCGCCGGTCTTGCTCTTCGTAGGCGGCACAGCTGACACCTCTTCAGTTCACTGCGGACGGCGTGTCGTAGGCGCAACACCCACAAGTGTTGTCGCACCTCGTTCGTGGTGATCTCGAAGCCGCCGTGGTGAAGTTTCCGATGCACCCATGCGATGTATAGGCGCACCCAGGCGTGGTTTCCGTCGACGATGGGGGGCTCTCGTTGCTCGGCTGACAGATCGGCGGCGGCTGCTATTCTCGATCGAAGTCGCAGAATGTCGTCGTTGTCTATGACGACTGACAGCTGTATGAGTCGACTGGATGACGGCAGCTGTTTTCCATGTTTTAATGCTGCGATTTCGTCGCCGAACGCCTCTTGTTGCATCGCGCGAATCCATAGCCGTCGCGCGCGATCTAGGTAGTGTGTGTCTATGGGGATGAAACACACAGATGGACTATTGCTGTTCTTGATTTTCATCTTCGTCTTCTCTCTATCGACTTTCTTCGTGCGGGTCCAAGTGGGGTCGGTGCTCTCTTTCTTCTTGTTCCTCTTTCGGATGGCGGTACAGCGTTGACTGGTCGGTCGCAGGAGGTCGATGAACTGCAACACCCGTGCTGAACTGCGAACAAGTTTCAACCAATTAGAAAAACGTGACGGATCGGGTAATGCTATAGACAACTGCGTCGCGTTCTGTAGCTTGTGTACGCGTTCTTCTCCCGTTTCCGCTTGACTATCGTCGCTCGTACTATCTTCACGCGGCCACTGCTCTTCGGGGAGGTACAGGAAGTCCGGCCCACGGAACCATCTATGCTGCGAGCCGAAGTCCGTCGGTGGGTCGCGTGTGGCGTCGTCTGCTACGTTGTGCCGCGTCGGTATCCATCTCCACTCGTTCGTCTTCGTTTCTTCGACGATCTCGGCGACTCTATGCGCGACGAACGGCTTGTATGCGCGAGGACCGGTGCGTAGCCATGCGAGCACGGTGCGTGAGTCCGACCAGTATACTCGGCGAGCGGGCTTCAGGTCGTGTTCTTCGACTGCCGTGCGCGATAGGCGACACCCGAGGACGGCCGCTTGCAGCTCCAGTCGCGGTATCGTGGTCACTTTGCTGAGTGGGGCCACTCGTCCCTTTGCCGCGATCAGCGACACGTGGACCTCGCCGGTCGCGCTTACGGCCCGCCAGTACACGGCACAGGCGTACGCGTCCGAGCTGGCGTCGACGAATGTGTGCAGCTCCGCTGTATCGGCCGTGGCTACCTCCGGGTAGCACCGCGGCACCTCCAGCGCGGACAGCCGTCGCACGTGGTCCATCCAGCTCCGCCAGGCGTCCGCTTCCCGTGGTTGCAGCTCGGTGTCCCAGTCGATACCGGTACGCCACGTCTCCTGCAATATCTTCTTCGCCTGTATGGTGATGGGAGTGGCGAGGCCCAGTGGATCGAACAGCGACATGATTGCTCGTAGCGCTTCCCTCTTCGTCGGCGTCTTTTCCCCGCTAGCTATCTGTGGCGGAAGCTTGTGTCCGTTGAAGTTGAAGCCTAAGGTGTCTTCAGAAGGTCGCCATACCATCCCCAGTATCTTCTCCGCGTCGAGTTGTACCACGCTGTCCCCGCCGGTGTCGGAGAACGCGGCGCGCACTTGATGCGAGTTCGACGCCCACCGTTGGAGATAGTAGTTGGCTCGACCGTGGATCTGTGCGACCTGTCTTGAGACGCGTACGGCTTGCTCTTCCGTGTCGAAGCTGGCGAGGTAGTCGTCGACGTAGTGGTTCATGACCACCGCCGTTGCTGCCTCCGGGAACTCTTCCTTGTACTGTTCTGCGTTCTTGTTCTTGACGTAGATCGCTGTACACGGTGACGATGTTGCGCCGAATATGACACTCTTCATCCTATATTCCACAGGTGGACCCTCTCGTCGATCTCCTCGCCACAGGAATCGTTGCATGTCCCTATCTTCTTCCCGTATGGTGACCTGCATGAACATGTCCTTTATGTCCGCCGTGACTGCCACCCGTCGTTGCCGGAACCGCATGAGGACCCCCGGTAGCGATTGAAGTAAGTCGGGGCCCGGCAGCAGCATGTCGTTCAAACTGATGCCCTTCGTCTTGGCTGCTGCGTCGTGCACGATCCGCAGTTTCCCCGGTTTCTGCGGGTTGATGACGGCGAAGTGTGGCAGGTACCACACCCGTTGGGAACTCCGTGGCGGGGCGACTTCAGCATACCCGTTCTCGAGTAGCGTGTCCATTTGTTGTTCATATCTCTTCTTGATTTCTTCATTCTTGTCGAGTTTCCTTTCGACCAGTTGGAGACGTCGCATTGCCGATTCGTAGTTGTCCGGCGGCACAGGGTCGTCCTTCTTCCATAGTAACCCCGTCTCGTATCCTCCCGCCGGTAACGGACGAGTTTTCTCCTCTAAGATGCGTAGGGCGCGACGTTCTTCTTCATTGTAAGACCTCTTCGGTGCGATTCCCAGCGATTCGAGCGCGAAATGTTGCTTCATCATTTCTTCCATCGATTGTTCCTCTTCATGTGTCGTCACTATGTGGCTGATTCTGTGCACCTGCTGTCTTGTCCTGCCGCGACTCGTACCGTGCAGTACCCATCCCAGGTCGGTGAGTGATGCGACCGGCTGCGTGTCGGATCCTCTTCTGACTTCGTGGGCCAGCAGTAGGTGCCAGTTGTCTTGCCCCAACAGTACCGTCGGTTTGCCCTCTTCATAGACCAATTCCCTCTCTATGTCTCGT